ATTCAAAGTAAATCGCATTTCTGTAAAATTTAATATTTGTCGTGCATAATATAAATTAGGTAAAACATATTCTCTCACTTTACATATCGTACTTTATTTTCATGCAATTTTTTAGATAAATATTTATATCAATTTTTATTTCCAATCTTTTCTATTATGAGAAAGAAAAGAAGATACTATACACTTAAACATTTTCAAAAACCAGTAAGAAACATATTTCATTTAAAATAAAGCAAAATCTCACTTCTATTTATTGAAGTAGAATGAAAAAGTAATGCGGAAAATAATTGAAGAAGCGCATTGCACTCGAATGAAATAGAATAGATCGACGATTGCTACATTTAGATTTTAAACATTAAAATTATTCATTCCGATGATTGCTATCATAAGAAAAAGAAAATGTTATTTAAACTAACTTTTAAAATCTTCGAAACATTTAACTAAGAAATACACACACAGACGCACGTCGTGCAAGTGTATTTAAATTATTTTTATATGCTTCCACACAAGCACGAAATATGAGTGCAAGACTAGCTACCACATAATGAATAATGATACTTCACGCACATTTTCCGACTCGATAAACGGAAGGATGCACTTACGGAAAACTGTTTCGTGTTGTTACGTTGTGATATTCATTGGAAAACCTATTGTCAGTTTTAGTGTAAAGAGTGCAAGAAAAATCAAACGACTCTAACCTCGCTACACCCAATCATGCGATGCCACAATACAAGAGAACTACTTAAGTCTCCGGTTACGTTGAGTCGCACGGCTACGCTACCTTGGCGAGACACGTTGTCCCGTGCCGTCAACGTGCGAGTTTGCTTTGTAACCACATTTTTGTACACGTCTGGATAATCTCGCGACCCAATATTTCTGCTCGTCAGGACTACCAGCCAGGATTAATAACTCGCGGGCACTGTTTGGATCATAATGCAATTTACACGGTGCTATGGCATCCTCTTTCTTGTCTAAGTGCTCCTTGTGCACTTTTATATGACACCCTGTGTAAAAGAACATGATAGCAAATTGGTTTTCATGCTTTATTACAACAGAATAAATAGACATAGTAATGTTGTATTCTTATCACTTCATACTTACTTCGACACTCAAGAGCTGGCGGTGGTCGAAACATGTGCCACAATTGCTTCGAGCACACTTCGCAAGTGGTCGGCATGTGATACGATATTGGTACAAATTCATGGCCTTTTAATGATTGCGTGCCCGGCCTATCCGTAAGTTGTGGCAGTTCTACTCCAGGCAATGTGTTTCCTTCATCACCAGGACGTCTAGCTTCGCCTTCACCAGCGTATAATAACTGAAATCGGGGATAGAAGGCAATATAAATATTAATTTAATACGTCGTGCATAAGCTATTAGCTAATATTATTTACCTGGAAAATTCTCGGAATATCTTTGGCATCGGCTCGGATGACATCACCCTGAGTAACTGATCTGACGTGGAAGACTTTATTTAGATCCAATATTAGAACCGGATCGGCATTTATTTTATCGTTCTCGCTATTGTAAAATATTATTTTCTTCGAAGAGACAACGACATATTGTTTCTTCCACCCGTGCCTTTTAATATTCTGTTTATTTGGCACATGTAACCAACCTTCCAATCGCAGCGTACCATGTTCCGACAAAACGGAATCCTCTCCATCATTTTCCACGGACGAAACACTAGCGGTTTCCGAATTGAGAGACGCTATTTTCATCTGTAACGTTTCTATTTCGGAGTCTTTCGAATCAAGTTCCATTTGTAGCCTTAATTTCGATTGGTTTTCTTCTACCAACTGCGCCTATAAAAATATATATAACGTTGAGAATACCATAGTACACGATCTATTGGAATGTACGATATGCAGTGTTTTATTTACTTGTAAATCTTGTAAGTCTTTTTGCCATTTAGCTGCCAGCTGTCCGTATTTCTCTCTTTCTTGAGTTAGTTCCTGTTGTAATCGTCTGCAATCTTTCTCCTTCTTCCTTAAATCTGCTGCAGAAGCTTTGTTCTTAGATTTGCCGCTCGAAGATAAGTCTTTCCTATTCATAATCTCTGCTAATTTATTAACTGCCTGTTGTTTCAATAATTGTTCAGTTTTCAATTTACTACTGAGTTTTTCGATTTCTTCGGCATTTGATTGCGCCTTCGATAGTTGGTCTTGCAATTCTTTGTACCGTTTATTTAAATCATCTTTTTCTTTAAGATATTGATCAATGGTTTTCTTGAGTTCACCTTCACTATCCTTCAGTCGATTTATGATCTGTTCTTTTGCATTCACTTCTTGATGATGTTTGGCAACTCCATCTTTGTACTCTAATTCTTTCATCGTCCGTTCTTTTTCAAGATCTGCCACTGTTTCTTCAGCTATTGATCTCGCTAAAGCTTCACTATCGCCTCTTGCTAATGACAACTGTAATTGATGTACCAAAGAAGTACGTTCTTCCTCTAACTCTTGCTGTAATCGTATCTTCTCATCGAGTTCTTCCCGAAGTTCCTGTGTCTGCGTTTTGTAAAGAGTCTGAAAACAAAAATAAAAATTGTCAACATATACATCTGTAGAAACTTTTTCAATAACAATAAACTTTAAGTATAAATTTATGTACCGAAAAGTAAGCTTCCGCTTCTAATTGTTCTTGCAGTTCTTTAGTTTGTAATTGATCTGCATTCCTCTGAGTCTTTAAGTGATGCAATTCCTCTTCTATTTGCTGTTTTGCTTCTCTCAGATGGGCTACTTCACCTAACAACTGCTGTTCCCTTGCACGCAATCGTCCTGCCTCCGATGACAACTGTGCCAAATCAGTCTGCAGTACGTTTCTCTTCTGCTGTTCTTGTTCAACTTGACCCTGTAGCACTTTTACCTTTTCCACCTCTTGTCTGTGTTCGCCCTCTAATTTCTGTAATCGCTGCTGGATCTGCCGATAATCCACAGAAAGCATGGAAGTTTGCCTCTCCTTCTCTTGTGCAAGCAATTCAGCACGTTGTCGTCCACTCTTCTCTTCGTTCAATTTTGCTTGTAGTGCTGTTGATATTACATTAACATTATGTAAATATAATTGAAGACAAATTTACAAACGAGAATGCAATTTTACATATATACATACATAAACAGATATACCATCGAGAGTAAGCATTCCAAAATTTTAAAAATTATAATGAGCAATATAATTGATTGACGATATATTAGAATAATAGTTAGATTGATAATACGTACATGAGTGCAATGCGACTTACCTTTAACAACTTCCACATTGGCTTCTTCTTTGGATAACATACGTGAACGTTCAGTTTCTTGATGAGCCACAACCTCTTGATTGTATCTAGCTTGCGCGGCTTTTAACTCTAAAGATAAGCTTGCTGCTTCTTTTTCCAATGCTGAAATTCTTTCAGTCAATTGTCTGTTATCCATAATTGCTTTCTCCTCTTTTTCTCGACTATGTTCGAGTTCGAGATGAAGAGCAGAAAGACGACTTTCTAATTCGGCGGTTAAGGATGACGCTTGTGATCGAGAGCTACGTTCTTTTGATAATTGCCCCTATAAATATATGAGTCATTTAAACTAAATGTTTCTCTTTATTCTTGTCTTTTTTTATACAGGTACTTACTTGCAGCATTGCCACTTCTTGTTGTAAGCTGTCTCGTTGAGCTTGTAATTGTGCTCTCGCCACTTGCAATTCGTTTGCCATTTGTTCTGCAGCTTGACGAGCAACAGTAACTTCCGTAGCTTGTTTCCGTAACCTTGTTACTGTTTCTGTTTCTCTTTCCAATTTTGATTGCATTTCCTTGATTTGTTTCTCTAGAGTCGAAACACGCTCAGATGTTTGTTGAGAGTTGCTCGCATCGCGTGCCCTTTTTGTCTGCTCTTCGTCGAACTTCTTTTTTAATTCTACAAATAACGATTCTGCTTTTCTACGCGTTTCCGTCTCATGCTCTATTCTACGTTGTGCCTCCTTGTAATTATGTCTTAACAAAGTTAGTTCCTTGTCCGCTCTTCCTATCTCTTCACGTAATTCAGATTCCCGGCGTGCCATGACTTCTAATTGCGTTGTTAAAGCTTTCTGTCTCGATTCCAAATTTTCTACTTGTCTCTTTTCTTTGTCCAATAAATTTTCTAATTGAGAAATTTTAATATCGTCGCTTGTACCATTATTGATATGATTCTCTAACCCGTCTACTGATTCTTTGCCACTTGAAGCCATTAATTGATAATCTCCCGAATATGTAAAACCAATAAAAGGTAAATGATTTCCAGAGAATGCTTTTGGTACAGGGAAACATTCCTCAGGTCCATCCTCTTTATCGACATCATCGAAATTCCTAGTATCATCATCGCCAGAAAGTTCTGGTACCACAGGAGGAACGCATTCCCGTAAATTTTCGAAAGTCCATTGATCATTTTTAAAGAATAGATGATTTTTTATTTCTTCTACGCCGTTTCTTCCCAACCGTTTAGTTCTATCCGTAAGAAAACCACAAATCAAATTTTTGGCAGACTGAGAAATATCAGCTTCTTGTGGAAAGTGTAGTGAATTTCTAAAATCCATAATCTTTGAGTACGTTCCAACTAACGAGTCTGCATAAAAGGGAGTGTCGCCGACAAGCATCTCATATAAAAACACGCCGACTGACCACCAGTCACATTCTCTTCCATATACCCCTTCACCACCCTGAGATTGAAGTACCTCTGGTGATATATAATCAGGAGTACCCACTGCAGTATCAGATCGAACAAGGCCATCCTAAAAAAAACGAAGTACACATGTGTCAGTTAAATATCTCTTTTCATGCAACATTACTTTAACATAAAATTAATGAATAAAATATACATACAACATCCATCCTCATACAAGTACCGAAATCTGCAAGTTTCAAGTGACCATGCTTATCAAGTAACATATTATCTGGCTTTACATCTCTGTGAACAAATCCCATGTAGTGTATCGCATCCAATGCAAGCACCACTTCCGCGCAATAAAATTTTGCCCATTTTTCTGGCACATCATAGTTCGACATTAAGTTTACTAAGTCACCGCCAGGCATATAATCCATTACCATATAAAGATATTTTTGATCTTGAAATGCAAAATGGAGTTGAACTATCCATTGAGAATTGGCATGTGCCATTATATCACGCTCTTCCCAAAAAAAAGCTGAGTCTGATCGTTTGATCTGTAAAATATGCAACAGTGAAATGTGCAACAACATCTGACACAACCAGTTGCAATATATACGTTTCTTACCATTTCAAATTTACTGAGTAATTTCATAGCATATACTTTCTGTGTCGATTTATGCCGGACTAATTGTACTTCCCCAAATGCCCCGCGACCTATCACTTTTATCAGAGTGAAGTCATCTGTACGCATTCGCATTTTACAAATATCTTGAGCCACCGAGTCATCTAAAGATGCAAACAACTCTTATTATTCTTTCCAAAATTATATAAATCATCATATCAAAATGCAAAATAATATCACGCAATACCATGACATATATCTTTCTTTAAAAACCATAATTTAATCACAGTAAAAAAAAATGAATACTTACATCTATTCATATATGCTTCTATATTTTTCATACGTTTTACGCTGGGATGATCACAATCTGCCACCAGGGCTTGGACTGTGTCTAATAAGCAATCGATGTTTGTAATGCTTCTTGGATCTTTTATACGATCCTCCAGCACCCTCAGGCGCCTGCGCCTGTCCTCATCTCTCACTGCATCCATTTCTTCTACTAGAAGCTAAGGTAAATTTCTTTCAAAAATGTTATATTCCTTTTGATGCATCAAAAACAATGCAAAATGAAAGGCTACATGTAATATGAGCACAATTTATGCACTGTTGCAATACTGGATGGGCAGTCCATGTTTTCTGAAATAATAAAACAATATTAACGTAATTCTCTATTAACAAATTTTATTACATACATATGTAGCTATATTAAACTAT